CATCTACTGTATCTATAATTCATCCATCCATCCATCCATCCATCCATCCATCCATCCATCCATCCATCCATCCAACCTTCATTCATCCATCCATCCATTCAACCTTCATTCATTCATTCATCCATCCATCCATCCATCCATCCATCATTCATTCATTCATCTATCCATTATCCACCATCCATCTATCTATCATTCACCCCTCCATCCATACATTTATCCCTTCGTTCATCCATCCATCCATCCATCATGAAGTTACAGAAGCAACATGAAAACCCAGACATCCTAACCCTACATTGACACGCTCCAGCTCCTTCTAAGGAATCTCAAGACGATCCAGAGAGAATGTGTGATGTAATTATAAAAAGTGTCAACTTTCTACCATCACAATCACCTGGCAACATTGCTGTTATTCCGGATCACTGGCCTTCATTGAAGCCTGAGTTGTAGCAGCAAAAAGKGCAGCTTGACCTTTCATCAGACTGTGATCAGACACATATTTTGTAACAAGTAGTAGAGACGCACCAATAAATCTTATTTTACCAAAACAAATGTGTCACCTGTTCTTCCATCACAAGACTGAATGTACCGTAGCATCATGTTGAACTAGATGACCCCACCAACCACTCATACACATACACCTTAAATATAGGTCATGACAAGTAGGAAGACTATTTACACATGCTGTTTCTGTGCGCCACTAGAGAGCAGTCACATGGTCCGTGTGTGTGTGTTTATGATGGTCTGATCGTTCCGTCGGATCAAACTAAACTAACTGGTATTTCTACTTTCCAGTCYRAACAAGWGACTTGTTGTGCTGTTCGGTCCAAGCTAAACRTCTGTTTTAGGTCCAAACGGATACAGTCTGTGTTGTAGGACCGTAAATGTTCTTGGCTTTCCCTGTATGAATTCATATGATAGCCTCTGGATATGGAATACGCTTGTCTGTATCCCGACTGGTCGCACAGCTACTCCCTCAAACTATGCTGGTGGTGGGGGGTGGTGGGGGTCTTTGCCACTGTGCCGCTGGTGTAAAGTTTCTCTGCATTTAGTTAGAGTCACACATGACTCGGCTTGGGGCCCTTGGCTTTGGTCGGCGGGTGTCGAGTTCTCCCGCTGTTTCGTAAAAGGGAACAGCAAAGGCGGCAAGAGGAGAGTGGCGTGATGTTTTGGGGGAGGGTGGGGGATCTAGATGGAGAGCAGATACCTCCGGACTGAGGAGGGCTTTTTGGTGAAGCCGTACAACAACGCACCTCCGCATTGGTCACACCTCCTGACATGTTCATGTGACTGCGCTCATGTTGCTAACTCAGGTATACCACTGCCCAGATTTAGCCTGCACCTGTCGCCTGCTGGGAGGCGGAGGGGTGGGGGTTAGGCTTTGTTGTGCAWAACAAACATGGATCCGTCAGGAGGAAGAGGGGGTGTGTGGGGGGTGAGCTGAGGTGGTGTGACCTCTTTGGYATGTGAGCTAAAATAGAAGTAGATTTAGGACTGTGGAGACAGGAGACAATGGTATCTCACACCACAAGGACGAGCCCCTCTTTGACGCAGACGAGACATTTGGACTTCAGGGTGCTGGACTGAAAGGAGAAGTTATCAGTAATCAGTATCTTACCTGCAGTAGACAGCAGTTAGAACAATTTTAACTGATTGGCTACTGTTGTGTAGCCAGTAACTTTGCTAGCTACTAGCTAAAACCTTAGCTCGGTAGTGCTAAAATAATATTTTATTTAAAAAATTGTTATAGTTTACATTTGTTTTACAGAATCAGTTTCAGAAACAAACGGCATCTTCTAGCTGCAAGTGTGAAACTTTCTATCCAGAGAATTACTAGCTAGGTAGCTAGCGCATAATGCTAGGTACAAATTTAATTTGAAATTTTCTTGACAACATTCAGCTGGTTAATTTTTTATGAGGTATGTTGGGTGTAGGTCCAAGTGAGGTGACTTTGCACACAGACAAATAAAAACAATAACATTTCTCTGAAAATATTTAGGAACTTGACAGTCAAAGTAAAGAAACAAACCAACAAACAACATAATTTGAAAAAACTTCACAAAAATGGAGGAAATACTTATCAGATAAAGTCTGACTTCTTACGTAAAAAAAATTAAAGAAATAAGATTTTATTAATGGTGGGCATTGTGATTCTGTATTAACAGCTGGTAATGAAAAAAAATTGTAGCGGATTAGCTTTTTCACTAAGTTTGAAAATCATTAGCGGACCAATTAGCTTAAATTAGTTTTGCCAACTTGGTCCTCTAACAGCTAACSAACAAACCAACATCAACAGGTTTGTGCCAGTTCCACCAGAAGGAGACAAAGACGTGTGACGCAGACCGTCTAGCGGTTAGCTTCTGCTAATTTTGACTTGTTTAGTGTTTGCTTCCACATTTTTTTTACGTGCTTAGCATTTTAGCGTTAGCAAAGTTATGTTTTTAATTAGTGTTGGATTAGTATTAGCATTAGCAAAGCTAACATTTTCAAAATGTTAGCTTTGCTAATGCAAAATGTTAGCATTGGCAAAGTTATGTTTTTAGTTAGTGTTAGATTAGTATTAGCATTAGCAAAGCTAACATTTTGAAAACTTTGATAACACGTTATGTAAGTTTACTTCTTATCACATAGATAGATAGATAGATAGATAGATAGATAGATAGATAGATAGATAGATAGATAGATAGATAGATAGATAGATAGATAGATAGATAGATAGATAGAT